GGTGTTTGTAAATAGGATATCATGTCCGCATCTTGTACAGCAATTAACCACTAGGAAGAATGTATGCAATGTGTTAATTATTGAAACTATCCTACCAATTTGGTTTGAAACTGAAAAAAAACAAAAACAAAAACAAAAAAACACAGAAGGCCCCTTGCCTTCTGATTCACCCCATCCTCAATAAATGATGTATTTTGACCAGTCAAAAAATTAAATTAAATTAAATTTTAAAACGAAGAACATAAAGTCTTAAAAAATTAGATTTAAAGTTGTATCTTTATCAATAGGGATTTCTAGATGATTCCAATTAATTTTACTGGACAATAAGCCATAAGCAATCGATATTTAAGTTAGGTGAGGATGTACACATGGCACTGATCACTTAAAACTCTTCTGAAAACAGAGAAATAATGCATTCATAAATGAACCTCAAACTGTACGTATCCTATACAGTTTATTATGATAGTCAAAGGTAATGAAACCCTAAGCAGGAGCATAGGAATATATCAAAAACTCTTAGAATCAGGGGATCTATTTTTAGAAATAAATATTATTAACCAATGGACAGGGTACATGGGAATTACGTTGATCTATACATTGTTCAAAATTCACTGGAATGTGTATTTTTATTTGTGTGTATTAATTTGTGTGTATTTTATCACATATGAGTTATACCTCAGAGAAAAACTATCAACATAAATACAAAGAAAAACTATATGAAGATGGAATTTTTCATCTATCAGGTTGGTGAAAACTCAATATGCAAAACATATTGTGAGGTTACAGAAAATATGCTTTCTACATTTCCATTGTAAATACAAAAAATACAACACTTATGGAATAGAATCTGAGCATGTGTAATTGGATTTCACATGGACTTATTTTGTGATTCAGCAAGTTCATTTTTGCAATATGTCTAAAAACTATTTTGGCAAACATATTCATTGCAGCACTATTTTATAACTGAAAAGGATTACACCAAAAAATCCCATTGATAAATACTTTTTCCAAAGTATATTGAACATGATTCTGATTAATTTTCCAGCTATAATAACAATTATCTGGAAATACAGGGAGAAAAGTTGGTTACATGATACCACCATGATGAAATCAGCATCCTTCAGACTACAGGACAGGCCCAATGTGGATGACTAAAGGAGGGTTCACATGTGAGGTGCAAAGAGAAGATTCATAGGAAAACGCAGGTACTCTAAACCAGGGCAGGCAATCACACCACCCCCTGAAACTAAAAGATAATCTGAAAGGCGATGTATGTAGATTAAACCTAATATCCAGATCTTGAAAAAGGAAAGCAGAGTCTCCATAGCTTGACCACACCACCTCACCCTTACCCTGGCCCCCTCCAGGGGAGAAAGCAGCCCAAATGGCCCAAGGGAAAGAACTAGCCATGCCGAGACCAGGCTCAGAAGACCACATTATATCTACTCCTCCCCATCACATCCCCAAACATGGGAACACCGCATCCCAGCAGCAACCTCTGTGGCACTATGGTTGGGGGAGTAGGCCAAGTCCACTGGGAAAGAACACACCACGGATCACATCCCTGGAGACAAAGAAGAGGGTCCAGAACTGCAGACTTGGTCATGAGTAAACTCTTCCCTGCAGTTTCCTCAGACACTGGAAAATTCCTGAGTTAGCAGGAAATCCTGAACAGCAGCCAGTGTGGCACAGGGATCTCTGATGCAAGTACAGGGGCTTTGTCAGACTCTGCTGGATGGAAAGGGGAACTCCTGAGATAGGATAGGTTTGGTATTTAAGTGCAAAAGAAAACATAAAAAGGCTCAGGGTAGGGAACTTCTAAACTAGTTAGAAAATCTCTGAAATGAGAACCCTGAAGTTACTCTAGCACAAAGGGAAGCAGAAGTCATGGGACATTGGCAGAAGATAAAGGAGAGCTTAGTGTTGGGAAATTATTTCACACCTCCCTCCCCTTGCCTCAAATTAACTGAGTTAGTTGTATCATGGAACAGAGAGAAAAGACTCCAGTTAGCTACACACAAAACACACTTTGCATTAAGGATGTGGGATGCAAGGAACTATCACTCCTCACTCCTTCTAGAAAAGCTGACCAGGAACCTACAGAGATGAGAAGCTGGGATGGCTGCCTACAAGCAGACCAGGCTGAAGACAAAAAGGGCGCTGCATGGACACTGTTGCTCTTTACTCCAACTGAAAGGACTTCCAATAGAGAATGACAAACTATTTGTTTTTGTCTATGATCATTTCTTCTATCTTCCTCTCCTCCTACTGATTTATACCCCTCTATCATCCATCCTGCCATCTTCCTTTTCTTTCTTTCTTTCTTTCTTTCTTTCTTTCTTTTTTTTTTTTTTT